CAGGACCGTGCAGGGTGGCGGGCACTACGGAGAGGGGGTAGGGGTGATGCAGGTGGGCTCCCGGGGGCTGGTGGTGGCGCTTGAAGCGCTTCCTGCGCCGAAGGAAGCTGCCGTTGTCGAACATGTCCTGGGAGGCGGGGTCCAGGCTCCAGTAGTTGCCCTTGCCCGGGTGGCCGGGCTCCCGGGGGATCTTGACGAAGCAGTCGTTGAGCGAGAGGTTGTGGCGGATGCTGTTCTGCCAGGCCGGGAACTTGCGGCGGTAGTAGGGGAAGCGGCCGCTGATGAAGGCGCAGATGCCGCTCAGCGTGAGGCGCTTGTGTGGGCTCTGCAGGATGGCCATGGTGATGAGCGCGATGTAGGAGTAGGGGGGCTTCGCGGGCTGAGGGGCGTCTCCAGAGGCCGTCGCAGACCCGGTCGAGGCCCTGAACTTGGTGCCAAACTCCGGGGAGTCGCTTGGGCAACCGCTGCTCTCGGTGCGCTCTCCCGGCTTCGCGCCCTGCCGTGCCCCGGGCGGCTCCGGCTGGTGCAGCCGCTCTAGGAACTGTGGGCTCACTTTGATCTCCACGTGGTCTTCTTCCTCCTCGTCGTCGTCTTCATCTTCTTCCTCTCCCAGAATATCGATTTCGCCGTCTTCCCCTTCGAAGCCTCGGAGGCTGCGCGGCGGCGTGGGGCGAAGGCGCTCAGCTCCCAGCAGGTTCATGGAGGAGCAGGTCCCGCAGCCCCCGGGACGGCGGCCGCTCACCTGTCTTGCAGTGGGCTGGGCCGGGTGCCAGGGTTAAGGGTGTTCTAAAAAGTAGGGACGCTTTACTTGACTTCTGGTTTCTTCTCCTATACAATACGCGAGTCCAGCAAAAGTGCGCTTTGCCTTTTATTAAAGCTTCTTCGAATCCCTATGTTGTGAAGTCTCCTGCCCTTTCTACCATTTCTTGTCCTACCTCAGCGTTCCCACTTCCTCGCGCCGCACAGTCCAATGAGGAGGGTCCTCTGCGCATTAGCCCACCGGGAAGAGCCTCCGGCCTCCTCCTCCCTCCCCCCCCCCACCCCCCCCCCACCACCGAGGAGGATGCTGCGCTCCTCGGGTTAGCCAGCCAGTCGTACTGGGAGTTGCCTAGGCTGTTAATGCGCGTTTTTTCTCCACCTCCACCTCCCCCCACCTCCCCGCTTAATGCACTTTTAAAACTGCGCAAATAGCCCTTTCCGGGTGGCTCAGTTAGTTGGAGTAGTCCCGCCTGTACACCAAAAGGTTGCAGGTTCCGTTCTGGGTCAGGGCACAGACCTAGGTTGTTCAGGGAGCGTGAGGGAGATAACGGATCAATGTTTCTCTCTCATCAAAGTTTCTCACATCAATGTTTCTCTTTCTCCCTTCCTCTCTTTCTCTCTCAAAAAATAAATAAAAACATATCCTCGGATGAGGATTGTATATGAATATAAAATAAAACTGCGCAAATAAAAAGGGGTCAGGAAAATATGACACCCAACAATCTACCAGGAATATCCAGGCCTCTCTCTCTCCTGGAGGAAAGGAGAAGGGGCATTGAAATGTGTAATTAAAATTGTTTTCACGCTGCATAGCATATTCATCACCCATTTTCATTGGTGGATTCTGTCCTTATTCAGAATGATGAGCTGAAATATTTTAGATATTCTAACTATATCCCTGAGCTCAGTGGGTTGTGAAGAGCTGTTGTGTTTTCCTACTCTCCCCACCTCCAGTTCCCCAAAATGTTCTTCCAGACTCAAATTTTCAGAAAAGGCAGAAATATCCTGGCATTAAATTGTGGAAGTTCAGGGTGGAGAGAAAGTGGGAAGGCTAGAGAGAAGTCCCCTTCAGCAGTGATTCGCTGACTTCCTTGAACATTTAACCACAGTGGGAAATGCATTTTTACCACACAATCATGCATATACAGACTTGCATCACTAGAATGGGTTTCAAAGAGCAATACGCTCAGACTAGAGTGATCAGTGATACTTTTCTTTTTTAATGGCCATAACCAATTCAATTGATTTTGCCACATACTAACCAGTACAGACCTATTTTGAAATACCCTGTTTTCACAACCTGGCCCCACAACGATGCACCCAGGATATGAGGGGCTCCTCTCTCCCTCTCCCTCTCCCTCTTCCTTTCAGAGAAAAAACAACCCACATTAAGCACCTTTATTATAATAAATAACAAAACTTAGTGAGGCAAGGAGAGGCCGCAGTTTCAGACACAAGGTTGTCATTCATTACTCACATGGGAGAGGATCAATATGAGAAAGAAGCTTCGTTAACTCACTTAGCATCTTTGGAGGTAACAAGATTTTTGGATGGCCACATTTATATCAACTCAGAGAGTAAAGTAGCAGTCCAGTAGAATATAACGTAGTGTGTTATATAAGTAGGGATTTTATGGTATATACTCATAATTATGGTATATGTATACATGCCACAGTATATTTTCATAATTTAAAACTCACCTACTTATAAACAGAATTTGGGGTGGCATCTAATTAAAATGCAGCATAAAAGAATATTGTATCAGGCAATTGATAGTCACATAGTAAATCTTCCATTAATGTTTGTAAAATAATGACTTTTCAGTCAGAAGCCAGCTGAGAGGTCAAAATATAATTAAAAAGTAGCTGGTGCCTTCAGGATAAAATTTTGAAATCAGATTTCTTACTCCCAAGATATTTATCCTGTAAGGCTTCCCAGTTATTTATAGTTTGAAGTAGGGCAAATAACAGGTTTTAAGCTGAATAAATTTGTGTTTGAATCCCAGATTTACCAATTATCACTTGTGTGATCTACTAAATTAACTCTGGAGGGCAAGACAGGTGTCTTATTCAACCTTAGATTCCCAGAGGCCTCACCCTCTACCCCCTGCAGGTAAAGTTTAGTTCTGCCATCAGCAGAGAAATCAGGATTACCTGAGAAAGGGAGTATTGTTAGTTTTCCTAGAGTCAACTTCTATTAGGATTAGGGTCATTTAAAAATGAAAGGAAAAAAGGAGGAACACACTCAGGAAAAAAAAAAAAAACCCACATTGAAGGGGAGGGTGAACGGTGGGAGTGGGTATGTCAAAGGGTACACAGGAGACAACTGAAAAAGCTCACAATGGCCAAAGCTGGGGCAATTTGAACAAAATGAATGGATTATAACCTAAAGTATAAAATAGATATCTATGTATCCATACTGATAAAGGATTGAGTCAATTAATGGAGGGAGAGGCAGAAGAATTCCAAATAACTTAGGTACTCAGCTCTTGAGGATGTGTAATTCCCCACTCCTTCATTGTACAAAGCACATAGTGACTTCCCTCCAGGATGTACAGAATGGACAGGGGTGGAAAGAGTCACTTAACTGTCCAGTGGGGAAACCTCACAAACACTACTTCAGCCAGATCATCAGGTGATCAATATCAACAAAACACACATGAATTGTGTTGATAGTATATCCCTTGATATGTGATGAAAATGGCACTCTGTGATCTTCCTCCCCAGGCCCCAATCTAATCATGAGAAAAACACACTAATTCCAAGAGGAGCGTCCAGTGTTCGTGACCAGTATCTCTCAAAACTACGGATGTTACCAAAGCAAGTAAAGTCTAAGAAACTGTCACAGCCAAGAAAAGTCTATAAGACATGGCTACTAAATGTAACATGGAATCCCAGATAGGATCCTGGAAAAGAAAAAGAACATTAGGTAAAATGTAAGGATATCTGAAAAACAGTGGGCGTCAGTTAATAATACTGTATCAATATTGGTTCACTGATGTAACAAATGTACCATACCACTGTAAGATGTGTGTGTGTGTTGGAGGGTAATATATGGGAACTCTCTTTTACTATCTGCTCAATTTTTCTGTAAATCTAAAACTGTTATGAAAAATATTCTATTAATTAAAAATTAAGCTTAAGGGAAAAGGACATAATTGCCAAAAAGTGAAAACTTAAAGGTCCATCAACTGAGGAGTGGATAAACAAAATGTGATATATAAATAGAATGTCATTTAGCAATTAAAAGGAACAAAATGCTGATGCATGCTACAACATGGTGAATCATGAAAACATTATAGTAAATGAAAGGAGTCCGGAAAGAACATCTATAGAGAAAGAAAGTAGATTAGCACTTGCTGGTAGCTAAGAGCAGGGAAAAATGGGGAATAACTGCTAAGGGATACGGGGTTTCTTTTAGGAGGTATATTAATTACAGTATATGAATTATATCTAGAGTTATACAAAATATGCCAATATAAAAACAAAGAGCTGTATCAATGAAAACTAAATTGAATGCTTTGCAAAGATTCCGTTATGGCATGGCGCTCTAAAAAAAATTTAAAAAAATAAAGGCACTCTTCCCGTCCAGTCCCTTCAATTTTTCAGTGTTGCCTTAAAAATCAAAAGCTTTACATTGTCGCTCCTGCATCATTTAGCATGCGTCTCGTGCATAATTTTTGGTGATTAATAGGTTTTTTTCCTGAACAAACCTATCAGACTCACAAGACACTAGTTTGAAAAACAACCTTTTCTAAACTAATTTACAGGAAGGATGATGATGATGTCTGATTTCTCTCCATTTCACTCTGAAAATTAAAGGCAATTTGGTCGTTATTTAAAAGGTAAAGTTGATTCCAATATCAAGTTAAAAGGTAAAGTTGATTCCAATATTAAAACTGTGAGAAAAAAATCTAGGGTATCTTTCTCATCAAAGTAGGTCAAGTTGCTAGACAGTCAAAGGTAGAATTCATTTCTTTCAACACTACTACCACAATGTATGGCATTTCTAGAACTATGAAAGTAATTTCAAAGCAATCTAAAATAGTTTTCTTACCTATTCTAGTAATCCAAAGGAAACATTTATTCAATTTGTACAAGCAACCAAGCCCATAAATGCTTAAAAGCCTGTTAACTTTATTTTGTTGATAATTCCCTTCAAACTTCAGGATCTAGAAATTATAGACCTTTTCAATTGCCTGGTCTTCCCTCATGCCCTGTGCTGAACCTTCCTACAGCTATCTTAATCTCAATACCAATGTTCTTGCCCCTTTCACTGAAAGCTTGGGAAAGTCTAGGAAAGAGCCATTTGTTTGAACAAAGTGCACAAAAGCTTTATTATTATTTTTTTAAATCGGGTCTTGCTGGAAATAGGGAATTCACTTTTACTGGCATTTGGTATCCAGGGTGCTTTCAATTTAATCCCTGGAACAATCCAGAGAAATCTGAATTGATATATCCATTTTATGAATAAGGAAGCAAAGGCTCAGAGAGATTTTGTCATTTATCCTATATCACTCAGTAAGCTATAGTTTTAGATGAAATATCCCTAAGCCTTAATTATCATCATCAATACCCTGAAAATCTTCTATAGTAAGCAGAATAATGGCCCACACTATTTCCTTTAGTTAGCAATTTGTATTATAAAAATAAAATCTTCTCTGGAGGATATTCATGACAAGTTCCAAAGTTCTCTGAAGGTGCTGGTTATACTATTGCTCTGGTCACTTAAAAATACTTCATTTTGGGGAAAATAAGAATGAGGAACAGGACATTTAAAATAATATATAAACAACATAGAAATACAGAATAAAATCTAAATTAAAAGTGACATGTCATCCCATGCAGGTTGGCAAATGTTAAATTGTGTTAGCTAGGTTTGGAGAAATGGGTGCTTTCCTATACTACTGTAAAGAGGTACAGCCACTGGAAGAGCAATTTATATCAGTATTAAAAATTTTAAGTGTGCATATCCTGGAAGCTCATGATTCTACTCTTCCATACCTATTCTAGAGAAACATTATCTCATAAGAACAAAGACGCATGCACAGTGATGTTCACTGCAGCACTGTTTGCAATTAAAAAAACAGAAAACAACTAGTTCATCCATCACAACCACATCACTGCACTTCCTAGGGCTTCCAGAATAATCCAAATATGTCACTCAGTCCAAAACCTCTGGCCCCAGCTCACGATCCAATTCCATCTTCAAGCCTGGCTTTGTAACCTTCCACTCTTGTCTTCTTCCTGGTCTTCCAACATGTTGTGCTCGTTGCCACCTCAAGGGCCTCTGCAAACTCCCTCCCTGTGTAGAACAGGGGTGGGCAAACTTTTTGACTCGAGGGCCACAATGGGTTCTTAAACTGGACCGGAGGGCCGGAACAAAAGCATGGATGGAGTGTTTGTGTGAACTAATACAAATTCAAAGTAAACATCATTACATAAAAGGGTACGGTCTTTTTTTTTTTTAGTTTTATTCATTTCAAACGGGCCGGATCCGGCCCGCGGGCCGTAGTTTGCCCACGGCTGGTGTAGAACCTTCTCCCTCACTTTGCATGAACAACTCCTTTTAAGTCTATTCTCAACTTAAAAGCTACTTCTTCTCAGAGAGCCTTTCCATAACTCAATCTGAAGTTGATCTTTAATCAACCATCTTAAGGCTACCTCATATTTTCTTCTATGCCCCTCCACCAGAACAGAATGCAAGCAATATGAGAACTTAGCCTTTGTCATGAGCAGTTTCAGCCCTAGCACTAATACCTGGGCAAACTGGAAGCTCTCAACAAACATTTTGAAAATGGATGTATTCTATGCTATATTATGCACATCTATACAACAGTTAAAGAATAAGACATTTATATACACTGTCATGGAAAGATCTAAGACTAATAGTTGAGTTTTTTAAAAAAGCAAACTGCATTATATGTTTTATTTAAAACACCTACACTAATAAAAGAGAAAGATGCAAATTGACCATATCTTCACAACGCCCACCAGCCAATCAGAAGTATGCAAATTAACCCAACAAAGATGATGGGTTAATTTGCATATGCAGGCGCTGAGGGGCCGGGGCTGGGGGCGGGATGCTTGTGTCATCACCATGGCTACTACGCAGGCTTTCTGCACTGCCCCAGCCGCTCTGGGCCTCTGGGCAGTGTGGGAAGGCAGAAAGGTAGCTCCGGGCCAGAGCGAAGGTGGTGCCGGCAGCCAGGGGAAGGAAGGCCCATTCTTGAACGAATCTTCATGCATCGGGCCTCTAGTTCAGTTTATAAAAATTAAACCTTTTCTTGAGAATATTTATGGCAAGTTTGCAAGTTTCCTGGAGAAGTAGCTTAAATTAAAGCTTTAATCATAGGAAAATAATTCAGTTTTGGAAACTATGTAAATGAAAAGACATCTAAAAGAATAGATATAAAACAATATTGCTTATTCCTGAACTTTCTTCTTCAGTTACAACAGGACAGTTAATTATAAACCCTTTCTGGTCTAGAAGATATGGATCCAGATGAACTATTTGTCAAAGCACATTATGAAGTATTACAATGACTACATAAATTATAAAACACATTTAAGCTGTTAGGAAGAAGATCCATTTTCCTGGGATCTGTTGTGTGCCAGGTGGATTACAAACCTATTTAATCCTCACAACAACCTTGAGTGGTTGATATTATCACTGTCCACTTTATAAATATGGTAACTAATATCAAAGAAAATACTTTGCCCAAGATTCCACAGACAAGCAGCAGCAGAGCTGAAATTAAAGCCCAGATCTGACTCGAATGTTAGCTGGCTTTCTATTGGGCAACATGCTGCTACAAAATACAGGTGTTTTCACAGCCACCAATTAAGAGAATGGATTCAGGAGGCAAATGGATGAATATAGAGAAGTTATGTATAAAAAAAATAGAATGCAGGGGAAGGAACATATATAATCTAATCAACTGACCTGCCTCCAAACACTGGAATTATACACAGATGTAATTCTTTTATTTAAAATTCTAAAAAAATACAAAATGCTACCTTGATAGCCTTCTCTGATATTTAACAACTCTGAGTTTGAAAAAGCGCTTCTTGAAATTCCATCTAATGCTATTCTCCTACAATTTGAATACTGTCAATGCTGACCTGGCATTTAGTAGGAATAGGAAAAAAGTAATGATTATTGAATTATTAAGTTTTCTGCAGTTATATCTGAAGGTTTGTACTTGTCACTTTTAAAAAATATATATTTTATTGATTTTCTACAGAGAGGAAGGGAGAGAGATAGAGAGCTAGAAACATCGAGAGAGGAGAAACATCGATCAGCTTCCTCCTGCACGCCCCCCAATGAGGATGTGCCTGCAACCAAGGTATATGCCCTTGATTGGAATCGAACTCGGGACCCTTCAGGCCGATGCTCCATCCACTGAGCCAAACCAGTTAGGGCTATACTTGTCACTTTTTTGTGTATCCAGTTAACTGCCATGATATTTTGAATTTAATTAAAAAAGGTCCACTGCTTATGTCTATAGATGCTATGGCATTCAAATGCGTATACTAAAAATTAAAGAAGTTAAAAAAAAAAAAACCCAAGATGAACTTAATACCAGGAGTAAAATGTACTTAAAGTTAAAAACTCTACAATAAGAATATTCTAAATATATCACAAAATGAATTGATTAAGTTTCATTACACTGATTATCAAGAAGACTTAGAACTGACTAAAAATAAGAGATGGTCCCAATTAATTTATCTTATTCAGATTTCTTCCACCTATAAGTCTCTAGCCACAATAAACTTTTTATTTCATTTAATAAAAATGGCAACATTATTTCCTTTCAAAATTTATCCTATATAATAAAAGGCTAATATGCAAATCGACCAAACAGCAGAATGACCAGTCACTATGATGCACACTAACCACCAGGGGGCAGATGCTCAACACAGGAGCTGCCCCCTGGTGGTCAGTGCGCTCCCACAGCCAAACTCCCCACCGATGGCCAACCTCCCGCAGTCCCTCCCCCTGGCTGGCTGGCCCTGATTGCCCCAATAGCTGGCCAGGCTGAGGGACCCCACCCATGCACAAATTCGTGCACTGGGCCTCTAGTTATAAATAACTCCCATAGATGAGAAGCTCGGCATAAGTAAACTCCCAAGCCATTTCTAAAGATATTTTTGTGAAACATCTGTTTATTAAAAAAAAAAAAACACTTCAGAGGATATTATATTTTATTGTATAAATGTCAAATGTTTTACAGTTTTGCTTTACAATATCTTATGTATCCTATAAAATAAATATAATTTTAACATACACTGGAATTCATAACAGAATACAAAGAACAGATGTTTGAAATATAACCAGTATATTAGGAAACTTACTCCTAATATTATCATCCAATCCTTTGGCTAAGAAATGCTTCCAATATTACAGATAAACTTTATCTTCTTTAAAATATGTTGTCCACTGTTTTTCTGTTTCTGTCACAGTAGCTATAAATAGTTGTTTAAGGATATCCTTATCTAAATTTCTGCCTGCAAAAAGAACAAAATATGGTGTGATTATGCTATGCTTATTAAAATGACACAGTTTTGCTATCAATTCCTGACCATTAAATGCTGATGATCTTCAGAAAATTAAAAACAATAGTAATTGAGTGATTCCTTCTTTAACTTTCTAGTTCAAATACTTCAGTACCCAACTGACACTTGGATTAATCACTTTTCTAAAGTTATTTGAAGAGTAAAAGGTCTAGCAGTTCTTATGAATGTTATAACATGATTAAGACAAATATATTAACCACAAGTTTATTTAGGTTTACGAAAGGGCTTCTGATTGATTAATACTGCTTACGTAGTGCATTATAATCTTTTCAAATATATTTTCCATTTTGCTTTAGAGATTTAACTGCTTGTAACTTACCAATAAGAACCAGTCGATTTGTTCTCTCAGTGTCATCTCTCCAGCACACTGGAGTCTCCTCCAGATCATACAGCTCATAGACACCTTGGACAATCACTTGCTGTGGTTTGTCTTTGATTGACACCAGCCCCTGCTCAGAGGAGAATGATCAGTCAACATCAATATGAATTGAGCCAGATAACTGCTCAGAACTCCTGGGAGTAGAGAGCATAGTGTAACATTTCAAAGTACACAGGTTGTTTTAGCTGCAACACTAAATGAAGTTGTGTGAATAAATCATGCTTTATGCAGTGATTTTCAAAGCGTTTCAGCAATGGAAATAAGAAAAAATGAAAATAGATAAAGGTTATTTGTATAAAACCAGTGCTTCCATTTAAATCCAAATATGCTTTTATTTAACAGTCAAGAAAGGGACTCTGTCCAAAACTGTAAAATGTCTACTGCACCTTTAGTCGTATGACCTCCATGCAGTCATCATCCTTGTTCCTCACATTCTTTTCCCACAGAAGATTCTGTATCAAGTAACATTATGTCAGTAAGACCAACCATTGCTAATAGCAACAACTATGTAACAATACAGTTGATAAAACATTAATCAGTTAACTATTGCATTCACCTGAATAAATTCATTTAGACTTTCTTCCTTTGCATTTCCTGGTACTTCAAATGTGACTGTAATAATACTCTGTAAATCAAGAAAGAGAATCAATAATGATTTTTTTTAATAGTAAAAAGTGGTTTTTTAAAAAAATCCTAAGTTTTAAGAATGAAAAGTAAGGAACATATTCATAGAAAGTTATATTATGTGTAACTTTCCCACTATTACTTGATTTTTGGTATCAGCAACTCCATTTTCTAAATTCTGAACAGTTGATCAATGGTTTAGCATTTACACAGAGAAACTGCCATAAAAGGATACTCATCATTTAATTCATCCTTTCCAGGATTCTCAGTGCTAAGAGGAAAGATAATACACATATATAGTTTATCAACATAAGTACTGAGCCAGGTATTTTTGCCTGGGTCACTTCATTTTATCTTTCATTTACATGTGACAATAATCCCGTGGAATAAAGAGAGTTATTTCCATTTTATAAGCTGGGGGAAATGAGGCTTAGTAAAAAACAAACTATACAGAACAATGTGCATATACTTAACGATACTGCACTATACACTTAAACATTTCTTAAGGGGGTGGATCTCATGTTATGTGTCTTTTACCATAATTTTTTAAAAAAGTGTTTATTTTTAAATCTTAAACACTGCTTTTAAACTGTTTTTGTAAGTTATGATAATAGTATATATTTAAACAAAATGACAGCCTTCTTCCCTCCTCAAAGCAATCACTAAAAATCTATATCAAAATGTACAGAAAATCTTATTAAAATACACAGCAAACGGGTGCCAAGTGAAACATAATTTGTCAATTTTAAAAGACAGTAGTAATTTTATCTTCAAAAATGCTAACAATGTATTTTATTCAAGTTAGATAACTTGGCATTTAATACTGGGAATGTCTTAATGTAGCACTCAATATTGCTCTATTCTATTGCTTTATTCTTAGCCTAAAAATTTTATATCAGGAAATGAGTTTTGTTTTTTGCAGGTTAGAGATATGACAATTGTCTAAGAGGTACAATTAACTCCAGCATGAGAGGAAAAAGGTTTTAAAAATTAAGACAATGCATCATGGGACTCAAGGAGGGAAATAAACATTTTAAAACAAGATGTTTTTCTGTATCAATAAACTCTACTCACATTAGACCCTAAAGATGAAACCCATAAATTCCCAGGGCAAAAATGAGGGTCACAACTCATAATTCATAATTGGCTCTACTGACTAAGTATGCATAGATTGTCCCTTGGGTTTTCTCATCTACTTTCCACCCTCCAATCCCAAGTTCTCCTTATAGGGAGTAAATGAGAAATCCATGAAATATAGAGAATTGCATTAAACATCATTCAAGGATAAAACTTTAATAACACACAATATGTCCTAGGTATTACCCATTTCAGACTTTTCCCCTAGTTTATTATTGTTTTCAATCTAAAAATAACTCTTCTTTCCCACACACAGAAAGAATCAGAAAACTGAATCAATAATTCGGAAAACTAAAGCAAAATAAGGGACTGTACTTAAAATAAAATCCAGGAATAACCTAAATTCTAGGAGTTTGCTCAGTTTTTTTTCTTTAACCTACCAGGTTATTTCCCTCAGTTTTCCATTCTTTTGCAAACAATACCTAATATGCAACACTTCTATGTCTTATTCATCTAGAAAACTAAGCCCACTAACTTGCTTAAACCCAAAATCGGCATCTCCACACTCCAGTTCCTCTTTGCCTGTGTATCTCTACTGCGATATCCTGCCACCAAGAGGTGAATATTCAGTTTGCCTTCCCGAGTTTTCTATTTCTAGGATCCTCTAGGTAATCTAGGCTTGTTTCCATCACTTCTCTCTTCTTATTGCTTCATCACTAGTTAGTCAAGTTATCCAGACAAGTCTACCTGTGAAATAGTGCTGGATTTATACCATTTCTATTCTCAATGTAAGAAGGCCCTCATCAAGGGCATGTGAACTTCTGCGGTATCTTCCTGCTTGGTTCCTGACTCCACATGCCAATCCGGCTGACCTAATACTGTCTGACAGCACACCATGAGTTCTTTCTCTTTCTTTTAAAATATATTTTTATTTATTTCAGAGAGGAAGGGAGAAAGAGAGAGAGAGATCAATGATGAGAGAATCATTGATCGGCTGCCTCCTGCACACCCCCTATTGGGGATCAAGCCCGCAACCCTGGCATGTGCCCTGACTGGGAACTGAACAGTGACCTCCTGGGTTCATAGGTAGACGCTCAACCACCGAGCCACGTAGGCCAGGCCATGAGTTTTCTTTGCCTAGCAAATCAAAGCCAATACTAGGATCCCAATACCAAGCATTCATGAAGACCTCTACACTGGAGTTCTGCTCTTCTAGAACATTCTAACTTTCCGACTTTTAAACACTTTCCCTTACTCTTCTGGTAAAAAATAAATCTACCATTTTGGGGTTACTTTTTGGTGTAAAGTCAGAAAAGCGGTCAGCTCTTTGGGAGGAGAGTTGCTGACTGAACATTTTCTATATCTTGATCTGAGTGGGAATTGTAGGGATGTGTGTTCATGTACACATATGGGCAGATATATAGGTAAAAGTACATGTGAAGATACTTGTATACTAAAAATTTGTATACTTTATTTACTTTACAGATGAAACACAGTCTTTTACAATCTACTAAACCAAACGAGACAGTTGGAGCTCTTGATTCCATAGCCCTTTGTCTGCAATATTATATTCTGTTCTATGTTCAGACATCTAAAGCAGAAAAGTCTCCTGGAGAGCTTTACACAAAGAATAGGCACATCCTAGTTACTGATGAAATGACACAACGTCTGGGATTTGCTTTAATACACTCCAGCAAGGGTGATGTATACATGTAGGTTCATTATACTTGTTTAGTTTTATGTATGCTTGAACTTTTCTATTTAAAGAAAAAAGTTTAAATAATACTGCAGCAAAAGAAATGCTGGGAAGATAGATGAAATAAAATCAGCAAAATGTTGATGGCCATTTCAACTGGGTCATATATATGAAGGGTTCATTTTACTATTCTTTCTACTTTTATATATCTTTGACATTTTCCAAGATAAAATGTTAAAAATATACATAAACATTAATATGTACATTCTCAAGGCCCATTCCTGGAGATATGAGAGGTGGCAACAACTGAGCATCCAAGTTATTTTTAAAAGCTCCAATTGATTCTGATGTGCACCCCCATTTGAGAATCACAGCTTTGCATTCTTTTAATATTCACTAAGCCCCCACCATAAATTTCTAGCAATGAGAAATTTACATTTAAGGAATTTAGAGACTACTGCAAGGGAAAAGCATTTCAACCCAAACTACAAAGCATGAGAAATGCCATGATATACTCGAGACACTATGGGTGCAGACGCTGGCCATTTTAAAGGTTCTTGAAAGTGAATACTACATCTTTTAAACCTTATGACTCCTACTATGATGTCCTTTACCCAGAAAGTCATTAAAAATGTGATTCAAGTCCATTTTATAACTAATATTGAGATTATAAACAGTTTTCCAAAAAATTCAACCTGGCTTTTATATTTTTCCAATTCACTCATTTTAAAGATAAGATAAATATTCTATTAAGTTTCTGAGAAAAGTGTTACAAACATGGTAGTATAGCTTCCCATAAATATGAGCCAAAACGGAGACAAAAGAACAAGTGGCCGCTGTTACTTTGGCCCTATTACAATTAGTAAGGACTCAAAAAATGAGTAAGAGCTTCAAGACAGAGAAGGAAGACTAGGTGCAATGCTCACCCACACCCCCCTTCCTTTCACTGTGCTTACATGAAACAAAGAAGTTACCCTAAAGCTCTACTATCTACGACTTGCTTAAAAGAAAGATGAGTACAGTGAATATTTATTTTGTTTGTTCCTAGCATTTTCAATATTTACCTCAGGAATTAGAGTTTTAGAGAATGAAAAACATCTTAACAAGTTTAAATTTATAGTGCTCAATTGAAACTCAAAGCCAATTTTTATTTAAATAAGCCATAAATGATTATACCAAACTTCCTTAATCAGTTCAATATAGTTAAAAATAGGCTGCATATAGAACCACTATGCTGCTTTTAAGTGACTCCCTCAGAAGAACTGATAAAATATGCTGAGTGACCTATAGAATGGAGAAGTTAGAAAGCATGATTTTCTAAACATTCTAAGCCACTCCAGTTTAATGAATTCCTATTATGCTTTAAGAAGAGAGATTAGATGACCTCAAAAGCATTTACATTCTGAAAACTATCAACACAATTAAAAAATACATTTTTAGAAAGAGTTCTAATAAAATAGTCCTAAACAGAACCTATTTAGTTAAAGAGATACTGTAAAAATATTTTCAAGATTTTTTTTTTACCTGATCAAGGTGAGGTTGTATTGTTGGCAAATGTTGAAGTTTTTTCTGCAAACTAAGAACAACTAATTATAAATTCAGAGATCAATATATTTTTTATTTAACCTTGTACATTTCTTAACAATACAAAGCTACATAAGGAAGAGATATTCACAGTTTAATCTATTATATAGTTTACATGTTGCTCACATATTCTAATAGAGAAAAGCTGACAGATTATTTTAAAACTTTTCTTAAAAATGTACAAACATTCACATACATAAACACAATATAAAGAAAAACTAATCTTTAGCAACACTATTTTGTGTGGTTAAATATGTCAGTAGATTTCTTTTTAATTCCAAAAGTTCTAACTAGCCCGAAACCCAGATACAAAAATCTAAATAAGCCTAGAAAAATATAAATAAGCATTTTTACTACTGCTCAAAACTTCATCAAGTCTCCCCATGCTTCCTAATATGAAATTTCTGGTACCTAAAGAAAGTTAGAAGAATAAATTTTCTTTTATAAACGTTTTCCTTTAAACATGACTACTTAGTAAAAAATAAACAGTATCCATAAATATAAGCCTTCTGTATATTCAGTTAGTGGTAAAAACAAAAAGCCAGAATCTTAACAATGCATTATTCTGATATGAAAAGAGCAAGAAAAGCATAACAAATTATAACCATGACAATTGTTAGACACTGATGGGGGTAGGCTGGGAGGAGGGAAGGACTTAAAACCTTGCAGATGTTTTGCCTTGAAGAACAGCGAGGGGTAAATTAGTAATAGCAAGATTAGGAAAGAGAAAAGGCTTGTAGGAACTGTTGGAGGGAATGAGTCTCCCTGGGGGTGAGGGGGAAGTCTTAGTAGGGAAAGTGTCAAATTAAACCTTCCCAGCTGATTGCTCAGGAATGGATTCTCCTGTTCAACAACTAAGCACAACGAGAAATATGCAAAGGCCTTACCTACAGCGGGGGCATCACATTAAACAGCTACTTTTTTAAGTGTCACTAATGCATTATAACTGTTCTTAAGTAAGTCATCTGCTATTTCAATATTTAATGTTTTCAGACAATGACTGCCTAAAACTTCTGTAGGGAAGGAAAAAGTTTTCTTCTACCCTCTTAAGGTCCCTGGCTGGGTCTGAAAATTAGACTGATAAAGACAGAGTAGCAGGAGGAAAGCACACAATTACTTAAGTTTTACAAGACAGAGGAGCCTTCATAAGAAAATGAAGACCCAAATAAATGGTTAAGCCTGGGTGGGTTTATGTTAGGTGTGGTAAAGAGTGCAAAGTCATGGAAAAATAGGACAGGACAGAGTGTCAGCCAAATGTAGTTAAGTTGGGGGAAACTCAGTAAGGCCTGCTCCTTCAGATTCCTCCGTGTGTCCATTTGTCCTCAGAGATAAGCATGTTCCTTTCCTCAGGTATAGGGAGGGAGGAAACCGCTCACAGAAGGGTTCATCTACTTCAGAGGAAATGGAAGAAAACATCTGCAAATCATGTCTGATAGTGAAGCATAGTAACTTCCATCTTGTATAGAAAACTGCTGTTTAAAATTCTCTGCTATTGTTAGATAATCCCTTGTTCTGTAAACTCTGTCATTATAAACTCTGTCACTTTAAGATAGTCTGTTACTCTGTAAAATGACTTTGTTTTTAGTTCAAATAATAGAAAAAGATAAACTTAACTGTCTGACCTTGCAAGCTAGCCATTCAATGTATTAGACCTGTGGTAGGCAAACTGCGGCTAGCGAGCCACATGCGGCTCTTTGGCCCCTTGAGTGTGGCTCTTCCTAAGCTTTAGGAGTACCCTAATTAAGTTAATAACAATGTACCTACCTATATATTTTAAGTTTAAAAAATTTGGCTCTCAAAATAAATTTCAATCGTTGTACTGTTGATATTTGGCTCTGTTGACTAATGAGTTTGCCAACCACTGTAGACTAATACTGATAACAATTCCCATATTCTTATGCCAAACTCATTATGTATTCAAGTACAAATGTCTGTAACAATAACATACACAGAGCCCTTTGTAATATCTGCAAACAAAGAGGCTTGAAAAGTATAAATACCGGAAACTTCCTGTATGTGGTGTTCAGAATTTGACAGAGGTAATCTGCTCTGAACCTGCACACAATAAAGATGACTCCTAACTAATTGGCTCATTAGGCATCTTGTCCAGCTTGCTAATTTGCGATATAATAGGAGTTAACACCTAAAATATACAAAAACTCCTGCAACTCAGCCACAACAACAAAATCAAATAACCGGATTTAAAATGGGCTAAGTACTTAAACAGACATTTCTCCAAAGATGATATACAAATGGCCAACAAACATATGAAAAGGTGCTCAACATCTCTAACATTAGATAAATGCAAATCAAAGCCACAATGAGCTATCACCTCATACCCATTAGGACAGCTGCTACCAAAAACAACAGAAAGTACTGACAAGATGTAGAGAAACTAAAACCCTTATGCACGGTTGGTGGGAATGTAAGATGGTGCAGCTGCTATGGAAAACAGTGTGGTGGTTCCTCAAAAGCTTAAAAATAGAAATACCATAGGATACAGCAATCTCACTTTTGGGTACATATCCAAAAGAAATGAAAGCAGTATCTTGAAGAGATATTAGCACACCCATATTCATAGCAACATTATACACATACAGGGAAATATTATTTAGCCTTTTAAAAGAAGGGAATCCTGCCCTGGCCAGTTTGCTCTGTGGTTAATGTCAGCCCATGGACCAAAGGATAGGGGGGTTCAATTCCTGGTCAAGTGCATGTACTTCAGTTGCAGGCTCGATCCCCAGCCATGTGTGAAAGGCAACCAATTGACGTGTTTCTCTCTCTATCTCTATCTCTATTACTCTCTATCTCTATCTCTATCTCCATCTCTCTCTCTTCCTCCTCCCTCCCCTCCATTCTAAAAAAAATCAAGGGAAATAATATCCTTGAGTGGGAATTTTTTTAAAAGAGAAGGAAATCCTTCTTTGTTAAATATGGATGAACCTTGAGGACTAAATGAAAAAGTGAAATAAACCAGTCACGATAAGACAAATACTGCTTGATTCTACTTATATGAGTATCAAAGTAGTCAAATTCATAGAAACAGATAATAGAATGATGGCTGCCAAGGGTAGTGGGGAGGGAAAAATGGAGAGTTGTCACTGAATAGGTGTAGTTTTAGTTTTTCAAGATAAAGCAGTTCTGTAGAGTCAATCCACAACAATGTGAATATACTTATTGAACTGTACACTTAAAAATAGTTAAGATGCTTTCTTATAAAAAAGACTAGTAGCCCAGTGCACGAAATTCGTGCACTGGGGTGGGGGGGGGGGGCAGGGGG